CCCACACAAGCTCCTACACTCGACAGTCCTCTTCTTACTTCTCAACCTACTGCAGCCCCCACTAATCTACTCGCTCTCACCTCTATTTCCGTGGTCAAGTCTAGCCCCATCCCACCTGGTCAACGATCCCTTTCAGCTCATTCCAGAGCCAACAGGGACCAATGGACCTTTCAAGGGTTTGTTGATGCTTCGGACTACCTCGCTGTTACAAAATTTGACAACTTCGGTATCGATGCCCTTTTGCAGGGTTCACTATCTAACAATGTAAGTACGGTATCCTTCACGCCTGGGCAGTGCAGGGCACGTCAGAATGGAAAAGGAGTTATCTGCAAGGCTCCTAGTGCCAAACTGACCATGAGAAGCACAAGACGCCCCAAAAAGTTGGGAGTTTTGGAGGCTTCAACAAAACCGTCAGGTGTTTTTTACAAGGTGTCAGGTAAATTTCGGCGGCAGTCGTTCGAACCGGTCAAGATAGTGACACCGCTTAGTGTGTCACTTATTTCAGAAGAATTTGAGATGACTGCAAATATTACTACCTGCACGGAATCATCTAGAAATAACGGCAAAAAAATCCGAATTAAGTGTAAGAGAGGCTTCTGAATACAGACGCAAAGTAATCAGTTGAGGTCACAGAAGATGATAGCGTTTGTAATATGAGACACCGCGTATTAGGTATCGAAGGGTATATTTGTCATCCTTTTCTTTCTAAGACCTCTTTTTGACAGAATCGTGAGTGGCAAGGGAAGTATTTTACTTGGGCATTACCTTTTTGATCTCGGTTTCGAGCAAACAGATTCAGGTATTGATAGCACTGATCACAAAGATAAATTTGTGAAGTTACCTCGGGAAAAAGGTTCTATCCTTGGAGTTTCGAGAATTCTGATATAGCTTCGGGAATCTGAAATACTGTTGACCGTAAGGGGAATACCTGGTATTGTGTCAGAATTTAATACTGCTATGAGAGTTCATCACAAGAAATCCATGCGTCGTTTGAAATGTTTCCTCGTCATGGGCTCGCACACTTTGTTCGTCCCAATTGATTTCTGTAGGAGTAATGTTACTAGCTCAAAATATAATTATTGTCATAGTCACCACACTTAATCGGTGGAGGCATCAAGGTATGAATCAGCTACTAAATGTATTGACATTGCTACTTTTGAATTTAACCACCTGCAAACTGCGGAAGAAATATCTACACTTACCTCTCCGTGGTGTCGCCTATTGATTAATGCCTGTTGTTACACATTATCATGGATTTATCAACGTAATTCTACTTGCGACAAAACATTTGATCCTGGTATTTTCCAGGACCATTCGACGCTCTGCTTGAAGGCAGGTGTCTATTACGAGGGCATTAACTCTGATTGGTTCCTCATTATACGATAATGAGATACCAAAATAGTAAGAACACAGCTGCAATTAATGATAATAAGGCACTTTGTGACAGGCGTTCCGAGCGGGAAAACATTACATACAAGCCAATTTTTTACAAAAGAGCATGCAAAAGGAAGCCGGAATGCAGCAAAATTTTGATTAAAAAAAAACTAAGCTTGAAGATGCTTTATCCATAAAAGGCCCTTGCGGAACGCAAAACCATGTATTGCCAGGATCACCGACTTTCCTGAAAAACTGACCAGACTCATTTTCTTTTTCCTCAATTCCAGCCTAGATATGCACTCAGCCTCGACCTAAGATAGTGTTTCTTTCCTCCTTTCTTTTACCCATGAAGTCTGCTGTCTTTCTTTTTCGCAAGACACGTAAGTTTCTCCCTTGTCCTTTTGTGATACTCTCTGATTCTTGGTCGATCCTCGTTTCCACATACATAGCAGCTTGTCCGCTCTTTCGTATTATTTGAAACCATCACAAAAGCCATTTCCTGACCTCTCCTTGATGAGTCCTGTGATTCATGTTCATTGATTTATCCATCCCGTCATGAATTGTACGGCCTCTTCCTCGACGAGTCTTGTCTTTCTGACGGGGGTTTTATTCCCAATGTTGCTCGTTTCCTCCTCCGCTTTTCTTACGATGTTTCTCGGTTCAAACCCTATGATAACCTGTCAACTTGTGTAATTGTCTCTCAGCATGCTTTGGGCGTATATGTATGTACGTGTCACTCATTTCTCGCAATTTCTTCTCTTCTAACCCCTCACCTGTCCCCCTTTTTTATGATATGTACGCCTTCCTATTCCAGAATGCAAGCGTCTGGATAATAGGACGACTCCTCTTTTCTTTGTACAACCATATCCAATTTTCCTCACCTACTCCTCACTTTTACATAAAAACAGCCTGTCTCTCAGCTTCTCTTTTAAACATCAATGTCACTCAACTCACTCACGTCAGAGTCTACATCGCTCTCTTCACCTGTCCCCTTACGATTCTCCTCCTGACCCTCTTCTTCCACTTCTTCCTGCATCTTGACATCCCCTTCCTTGGCAAAGGACGATGCAGGCATGGCAGCCGCCTCACAGCCTAGACGATGGGTGCGAAGGAGAGTCCAAGAGAAGCTGAGTTCGACCATGCATGCGGCTCCCCTTATTATGTCACAAACACCTGTTCCCTCCCTATTTTTTCGACGGATCCTGGCCGATCCGAAGTTATACCCAAAACTGGAGTCTACATGATCCTTCATCTCTTTCCTCAACAATGTATCCCTCCTTCTCTCCCATCGTCCCACCTCCCCTCCCTATCCCGCTCTCTTACACCCTGTCTTACCGTCTGACACCACCATGGGGGTCGGGTGGGAAAGCAAAGTAGACACTGGTGCAGAGCCCAGAGACGTGGAGCTGCCAGGAGGGAGGGAAGGAGGGAGGGAAGAAGGGAGGGATTGGCGGGAGGAAGGGAGGGGGAGGGGAGCAAGGACACAGGACCTCAGACAGAGAAAGACTTTGCCGGGAATAAAATCCGAGCATAAAGCTCAGAGTCCAAGCAGAGACGACAAAGAATTAGGATCAGACGAAGGGAGTTTGGGTTACTTGGGAGGGAAAGGGGGACGCACCGTGGGTGGTTTCGTGGGCGGAGAAGTGGAGAGGAAGCAGGAGAAGCGAGGGAGGAGGACGAGAGGAGAAAGGCCTCGGTGGAAGGCGTGAGTGAGGAGGAGAAGGCAGCGGAGACCGTGGTGGCC